TGCTACTAAGAATTGTTAGAAATAGACTGCAAATACCACTTTTGTATTTGTACTTTTATATCCTAGTTTAGGTTGTGAATGTTCTAGTGGGTTGGGGTGTACTCACCAATCCCAACCTCACCCAATTGTGATCCCCCCAATCTCCAATTACCCAATTGGAGATTCCGGAGATCCCAATGGGGATTCCCTCCAATTCCCCCTTCATCCATTTTCTCTCACTTTGCCATGTACTTATAGAGCCTTGGGCTCCTTACCTAATCAATCATTTCAACTCTATTTCTTACATGGTATCAGGGCGACCTATCCGCACACGCGGATCAAGGTCCTAATCTGAACGTGCCTGCGCTACGCGCACTTCATCGTCGCGACATTCGTTTCGAATTGTCGGAATTTCGACGTGCTCCACTCTGCAGTCGCGCCTCTCATCGTCGACCGCCTTTGCACTCGACCTCGTTGAATTTCTCATCTCTGAAGCGTTCACGCTTCTCGTCGCCGATTTCCTCCTCGGTTCTCCTTGGTCGAATCTCAATTTCGACCATCTCTTAAAACTCGTTCTCGAGTTTCCCCTCAGACCCCGCCAGAATAGGCGAAATCCCCTCGCAAAATCGCCTCCACGAACGTCTCGCGTCAAGCAAGAGCAGGTACACAGGTTGAAGCGGAGCGGAGCTGGTTGCGGAGCTGGTTGCGGAGCTGGTTGCGGAGCTGGTTGCGGAGCTGGTTGCGGAGCTGGTTGCGGAGCTGTGTAGTTGCGGGACAAGGCCTGGAGGTGTGTGGGGGGGTGTGTGGGTCCGGGGTTAGACATAGGCTCAGATTCAGTTTCAAGTCGGCGTTTCAACGAATTTTCGCCGACGCCATTTCCTACTTAGCGGCATTTTGATAAAGCCGTCAGAGTGATTTTCAGCAATTCTCGTCGACCAATTTCCAGAAGTGTCGCGCTGCACACCGACAATGGCTTACTCAACCACTTCACTCGCCAACCCGATCCCGCTCCTTCGTCTCGAGCCGGACGGCACATGCTCCAACTACAAGACTTGGCGCTATGGTGTCGACAAGCACCTCCTCAGTCGCGAGGTAAAGGGGCTCGAGCTCATCGACGTCCTTCTCAACATCGGTGATGGCAAAAAGCCCCCTGAACCCGAGAGGTCCGCTGATCCAGCTAATGCCGCCGCCGAAGCAGTTTATGCTGCTGCACTGCTCAAGTACAAGAATTGGGAGAAGGCCGATGGTGCGGACATTAGTGTCTTCATGGGCACCACTCCTCCCGAACTCGTCGAAACCTACCATTACTACCCGTCTGCCAACGCCATTTGGCTCTACCTCGAGGATCGCTTCCTGAACAAGACTGCAGTGGGAGTTGCTATACTCATCCCCAGCATGTTCCAAGTGCGGCTCGAGGACTCGCCAGGCATGGCGGACTATGTCACCAAGGTGCAGTCCATTCATGGTGAACTCAAACCGTTGGGGATATTCTTCCCCGAGCAAGCCCCTGCAGCCGCTCTCCTAGTCGGCCTCACTCCGGCATACGAAGTCACACGCAAGGTGCTCTTGGGCCTTGCTCCTGCAGACCTCACATTTGCCAAGGTCTCATCCACGCTCCTTTCTGCCGAAAAGGACAACAGCGCTCAAGCCAAGGCCAATGCAATGCGCGCTCCCGTGCCTCAAGCCTATGCCGCTTCGGTGCCATTCCAGCGCAACCGCTTCCCCCCGTGTCCCTATGTCATCAAGCGCGGCCCTCGTGCCGGCCAGGTGTGTGGCGGCACCAACCACGCCCTTGCCTCCTGCTTCAAGAAAAAGGATGACGATTGGTATGCCGTCAATGGGACCGCCTCGAAGCCGCCAAGGTGGATGGTCAATCGTGCTCCTCGCAAGGTCAATCAAGTCGAAGCGCAGGAATCCGTGCAGGCTGCTGTAGCTCCCACTGCTGATGTGCGCCTCCACATGTTGTTCCCTGGCACTGCCATGATTAATGAGACAATTTCGCAGTGTCCCGGCTCACAAAGCACCTCAGCCACAATAGAGTTCACCCTTGACAGTGGGGCCACTCACACGGTTCTCAAGGAAGAACACTCCCAGGCGGAAAATGGATCTTCCGAGTCAAACAACTCCCAGGCGAAGCTCCACTGTTCAAGGCACGATACGTGGCGAAGGGTTTCACCCAGAAGGAGTATCTCGACTTCTTCGAAACATTCTCGCCCACGGCCAAGCTCCCGACTGTGCGCGCTCTTCTTGATATAGCCGCTCGCGGCAACTTCGAGATCAAGTCCATGGACGCCTCCTCCGCCTTTCTCCAAGGCCAGCTCAAGGAGGATGTTCACATGGAACGCCCACCTGGGTTGCCTGGCACTTACCCTGCCAACACAGTGTGGAAGCTGAAGCGCCCAGTGTATGGCCTCAAGCAGGCTCCTCGTGAGTGGCACACCAAGGTGAAGGAAGTCCTCCTCGCACTTGACTTCCATCCCTCTGCCTCAGATTCCAGTCTCTTCGTTCGTCACTCCTCCGAGCCCTTCTACATCCTCGTCTACGTCGACGACTTCATTCTAGCCGCCAGAGATCCAGCCGACATGGCAGCTGTCCAGTCTGCTCTCAGCTCCGCCCTTCTCATGAAGGATCTTGGTGACCTCATGAACTACCTGGGAATGGAGATCACTCGTGACCGCCAGGCTTGCACGATCACCCTCTCCCAGGAGTCCTACATCGACAACCTTCTCAAGCGGTTCGACATGGACTCCAGTAATTTTGTCTCCTCTCCACTCTCACTACAGCATCAGCTGACGGCCCCTCCAGTTCCTTCTCCTGACGCCTGCAAGGACCCGTACCCTGAGCTAGTCGGTTCACTCATGTATGCCATGATGTGCACTCGACCAGACTTGGCTTACCCGGTTAGTGTCCTCTCTCGGTACGTCTCCCCTGGACGCTACACTGCCTCGCATTGGTCTGCAGCCAAGAGGGTCCTCCGCTATCTACAAGCCACCAAGTCTTACATCCTCACTCTTGGTGGTACCTCTCCAGTCAAGCTCGAGGGATACACAGACTCCTCATGGGCCGATGACCAGACTGACAGACGCTCCTCCCAAGGGTACTGCTTCACCCTTGGTAACGGAGTCATCAGCAGGCGCTCCACTCGGTCCTCTGCAGTCTCCCTGTCGTCCTGCGAGGCCGAGCTCTACGCGGGCACAATGGCTGCTCAAGAGGCACGCTGGCTCTCCTTTCTCCTCGCTGAGTTAGGCTACCCCCAGCAGTCGCCCACCCTGTGGTGTGACAACCAGAGTGCCATTCATCTCACCAAGGATCTTGTGTTCCACTCTCACACCAAGCACATCGAACTTCGTCATTTCTTCATCCAAGATCTTGTTCAGAGTGACCAGCTGACGGTACGGTACATCGCCTCAGATTGCAACCTCGCCGACCTCTTTACCAAGGCTCTCGGCAAGGCTGACCACCATCGCCTTCTCCGTTCCATGGGGCTATGTGCTCCTTGACCGGGTTTGCAGTCTATGGGGGTGTGTTAGAAATAGACTGCAAATACCACTTTTGTATTTGTACTTTTATATCCTAGTTTAGGTTGTGAATGTTCTAGTGGGTTGGGGTGTACTCACAATCACTCAATTGTGATCCCCCCAATCTCCAATTACCCAATTGGAGATTCCGTAGATCCCAATGGGGATTCCCTCCAATTCCCCCTTCATCCATTCTCTCTCACCTTGCCATGTACTTATAGAGCCTTGGGCTCCTTACCTAATCAATCATTTCAACTCTATTTCTTACAAGTATTCACCTATGGATGTCGTCTTCAGCGACATACTTTTCATGCCGCAGGAAACAGGGGATATAAGCAGCGACGACTACCGCTATATAATTACCTTCATCTATGGTGCTATTTGATATGTCTGGCACAAGAATATCTCTCACAATTCTGAAGCTCCCGACGCCTTCAAGCTATGGCTGAAAATCGTGGAGCGGCAGGGCGGCATCAGGCTGAAAGAGATCCAAACAGACAACGCGGGCGAGTACACTAGCGAACAGTTCGATGAATTTCTGGTGCGGAAAGGGATTCTCAGGCACAAGACTGTGCCTTACGCTCATCAGCAGAATGGAGTAGCTGAGCGGACGAACAGAACGCTGCACGAGACGATGTTCGTGCTGCTGCAAGAGAAGATGCGCATTCTACTGCTACAATCCAGCTTGACAGCAGACTGTTGGCCGTTTACGATGGCGCAAGCTGTCAAACTACACAACTGCTGTCTTCAACAGCCCTCCCTTAGTCCAGCTCGCCACACGTCATTTTGACAAAACACCCTGCTGATACTTGATTATTACAATTATGGGGCTGCATGGTTCAATACAGACCTCCGATGGCAACTGTGGGTATGTTTACTGAACGCGCTCGATGGGGAATACACCCACCCAAGGATTCCTATTCTTGGATAATTATGGATTACGAAACCCGAAAGATTTTGTATGCCCAAGACTGCATCTTCTACGAGAAACTTTTTCTCTATGACTTCGAACGCGACAAGGAACGCCAGCAGCGGGATCCTGATCGCTACAGTGCCGAACGGAGTTTCGCCACCACTCAAGACAAAGCACATGCAGCTGAAGAATATTATCGACCCGCGCAGCAACAGGACCTTCTTCAGCTCCGCAGCCGTCTACGTCAGCAGCCGAACTATTGTTCAATTCCTATATTCCCTTGACACATGCCAACAACACAAAAACCCCGCTCTTCATTCCAGTCTCGGACCCGTTGCGTCCTGCCATGGCACAAGCTGCCTATAATTATGAGGAGCACCTGCGCCGACAGAAAATTCACGCATCATCACATAACGGTGCCCGCAATCTGCAATCCGAAATTGACGATGATGACGTCGTCAAAGTTTGCCAACCTCATCCTCGTGGTGACCAATCGGCTCTTCAAATCCTCGGCGTTGCTGTCACAGTTCAGCAACCAACGACCGGGATTGAGCTGAAAACAGTCAAGCAGGCCCTCTCTGGCTCTAATGCTGACAAATGGTGAGCAGCTATAGATGCAGAGGTAGCAGCTCTCGAGAAGCGGAAAACGTGGAAACTCGTTCCACGCGAAGCAGCACGCGGCAAGAAAATACTTTTGGGCAAGTGGGTCTTTCGCAGAAAGACAAACTCAGCTGGTGAACCAGACAGATTCAATGGGAGATGGGTCGTTCGAGGTTTCGAACAAACCCATGGCATTGATTACGACCAGACTTTTGCTTTGGTCAGCCGCCATACCTCAGTTCGAATTCTTCTCGCTATTGCTGCCAGCCGCCATCAGCCACTTTGTCAACTGGACGTAAAAAATGTGTTTTTATACGCAGACGTCGATACAGATATTTCCGTCGAACTCCCTCACACTTATGGTGACATACTCTACATCAGCAAGTTACCTTTTCACACTACGACATCAAACAGGCTCCTCGCCTGTGGCATCAGTATCTTTACAAAGTGCTGATTTCACTCGACTTCGTGCAGCTGCCCTACGATCCTGGGATATACAGATTCGAACTTAGGAGGCATTACATTCTTCTGGTTGCCTAGATGGACAAATTGCTGCACACCGGCTGGTGCAACAATCTTCTGACGCGCATGGAGGAAAGAATCCAAACGATTCTTGAGGTTACTATTTCTCCAAACGTCACCCAATTTCTTGGGTTAAACGTTGATTGCGGTCCCGATGCCATCCACCTTTCTGCACGCAAGTACGCAGAAACACTTTCCACATTTTCCCTTAGTCATCTCATTCTCCATAACCTAACATGGTATAGAGCTAGGTAGTTTCCGCATCTCACGCTTCCGCTAATGTACTGAACTTTTTTTTCCGAACCTCCTGCCCTCAAATTTCGCGCTTCGTAGGTTCTCCCCCCCCTCCCCTCCCCCCCCCCCCCCCCCCCCCCCCCCCCTCTCTAGCGCTCGCTCGCTTCGTAGGTTCTGCCAGCTAGGCGCCAGCAGAACTCGCCAGCTCGCCGCCAGCAGATCTCGCCAGCTCGCCGCCAGCTGAGCTCACCAGCGCGCCGCCAGCAGGGCTCACCAGCTCGCCGCCAGCAGAGCTCGCCAGCGCACCGCCAGCAAAGCTCGCCAGCTCGCAGCCAGCAGAGCTCGCCAGCTCGCCGCCAGCAGAGCTTGCCAGCTCGCCGCCATCCCAGCTCGTTAGCTCGCTGCCAACAGAGCTCGCCAGTGCGCCGCCAGCAAAGCTCGCCGCCAGCAAAGCCAGCCAGCTCGCCAGCTCGTTAGCACTCGCTGCTGCCCTTGCAGTCGCCAGTGCCACCACTGCCCTTGCCGCTGCTGCCGCTGCCCTTGCACATCTCGCCGCCAGCAACACCTGCCTGCTCGCCGCCCAGAAGGCCTAGCCTGCTCGCCGCCAGCAGCGCTAGCCAGCCACCCAGCACCTTGCTGCTGCCGCTGCCGACGCTGCCCTTGCAGCCACTACTGCCGCCACTGCCCTTGCAGCTGCCGCTGCCCTTGCAGCCGCCACTGCCGCAGCTGCCCTTGCAGCTGCCGCTGCCACCGCTGCCCTTGCAACCGTCACTGCCGCCACTGGCCGTGCAGCTGCCGCGGCTGCTGCTGCCACTGCTGCCCTTGCAGCCGCCACTGTCGCCGCTGCCCTTGCAGCCGCCACTGCCTCTGCTGCCGCCACTGCCGCCGCTGCCCTTGCAGCCGCCACTGCCACTGATGCCCTTGCAGCTGCCACTCCCGCTGCTGCCGCTGCTGCCTTTGCAGCCGCCGCTGCCGCTCTTGTCGCCACTGCTGTTGCCAACCGTCAGCTTCGGCCTCCAGCAGCTTGGCCACCAGCTGCCAGCATCAGTTGTCAGCCGCCGGCTCCAGCTGCCACCTATGACCAGCCACCGACCCCTAGCCATCAGCTGCCAGCTGCCACCACTCGCGGCCAGCCGCCAACGGCAATCGGCCACCAGCCAGTCGCCAGCCTCGTGAGTCCCCTGTGCTCTGTGGACTATCATTCACCCTGTGCCGCCAGCCCTGGTGACTCCTAGCTAGCTCCTCTTGCGCGTAATTCCTCATCGTTTGCTTTCTACTCCTCCTAGCAGCTCCTAGCCTCCTGCCAGCTGCTCACAAGCCGCTGTCCACCCGATCCCTGCTTGCCGACTCTTGCTACCAGCCCGCCGCCAGCTAGCCGCCAGCTAGCTGCCACTGCCGTCTTACTGTCACTAGCTCCAGCTACTGTCAGCTTAGCGCTAGCCGCTTCTGCTACTAGCCTCCTGCTCGCTGCCACTGCTCCGGCCACAGCCGCCACTGCTACTACCTCCGATAGTGCTCGTGTGACACCTAGTGCCTCCCACTAGTCTCCTCGTTCCTAGAGTTCCTCGCCGCCTCTTCTCTCGGTTTGATAGCCGCGTTAGGGTCCGTCCCTCGGCCAGACGGAAACTTCCCTACGCTCTCCGGTTTCTCGCTCACCCTTTACAGCTAGTAAGCCCGCACCTAGACTGCATGCTCCTAGAGGATCACATTAGTTATGTGAGAGTACAACCCCGTTACACCAATTTCCATTTCCATATCTCCTTTCTATTTCATTCCTCTTTTTGTCTCATCTCATTTGGTTTCCTATTCCTCCTATTCCATTATCCTTTGGTTTATCCTGTTATTATAATTATATCACCGACCAGGCTCGGATGTACTGGCACGCTATATCTAGCGTAATCCTGCCGTAATCCCTTAAAGCCAATAGCCTCGCGTGACTATACGCAGGGTGATTCTATTTCTAGAAGTGTCTATTCCCTTTGGATAGGATAAACCTGGTTACCTGATGTACTTCGGAAGTATAAAAGCGCCTTGTATCAATCGATAGTGCAACTTTTCCTCGACACATTCGATCCTGTAACACTTGGTAATCAGAGCTTTTCTCACTCAGCCGGGCTCAGCTAAGCAGAAGCAGCGGGAAAACCTGCCTCGAAAAACCGCCGGGGGGGACTAATTCGGCGCCGATTCTGGTAAGCACCAGCTCCGCGTTTTTTGAATTATCCCATCCGTGCGTGTTTTGAACAGGATGGCGAACTTCGACAACGCTGAAGTTACCCAGCAGCTCTTCACGAGCATCGCCGCCCTTCAGGAGGAGATGCGAGCCGATCGCGAAGCTTGGCGAAATGAGTTGGAGCGAGTAACTCGACTCGCCGGCGCGCAGCGCGACATGACAACGGCGACGACGCAGCAATCGCAGCAGTTTCTCGAGGCTCCGAAACCGCGCCCACCTGAGCCGTTCGATCCGAGCGATCGAAATTCCGACGTCCGTAGATGGATTGCCGGTATGGAGATCTACTTTGCAGCCGTCGGATAGAGCTCGCCAGTCTAGGACGGTCAACGTGTACAACTCGCAGCGACACTGATGCGAGGACCGGCACTCGAGTGGATCGACGGTAACAGTACCTTCATTCACGGCGAAGCCACATGGCAGCAGTTCCGCACTGACCTGCTGAAACCTTCGAGCTTATAAATTCGGGTTCCCTTGCCCGGGAAAAAATTCATCGCCATCGACAGTTTGGGAGTGTAGCGCAGTACACGCAACAGATGGATGCATTTTATAACCGCATTCCTGACCTGACCGAAGGGGAAAAGTACAGTCGTATCTCGCCGGGCTGAAGGCCGAAGTCAAACGACATGTCGCAGCGTTAAATTACGCGAGCTACGGTGACATCGTTTTGGCAGCAGAGTGGTTTGACATGGTCAACGCCGGAACACGACGGGCGCACGTCGGCAGTACGCGACAGGGCGACCGCTCGGCTTACCCCACGTTCGCTGACCAGATGGAAATCGACAGGTTTGACGGGCGGTCACGTCCGAAAAACACCAACTACACGTGTGATATTTGCGGGGTGCCGGGCCATTGAATCTTCGACAGCAACAAATTGGAAGCCGCTCGAGCAGAGTATCGGGCACGCAACAGTGGCGGAAATTCTTCGGCCAATCGGAAGACAAAAAACGGAATTCGCCAGTGGTTGCGGATCTAGCTGGCGAAAAAGAAAAGATCCGAAAGCGGCCGCAGGATTCCGGAAAAATCGACTTCAACGAAAATGATTCGACGAGAGCAGGAGGAAATGATGGGGAAGAATCTCCACCCCATGACCAGTCTTCGCCAGAGAAAATCGCCGAGAAAAAATCTGACTCCGCGAAAAAGGACTCTGCCGAGACGGGGAAACTCCGAGAAGACCCAATAAATTATAACGATTCGTTAAAGCTATCTTATAAATATTTTTGAATGAAAATTTATAATTCTCGAGGGGCTAGAGGCTTGGAGAAATTTCGGGAGGGACTCCAGAAGGAGAACAAACTTGTGGAGATCATACCAGTACCAGAAAACTTGGGAACAAAATTAAGGAGTGTGGAAAGAAGCCGACCTTTCTACAGAGTCAACGTCCTCTCCCAACACCATCCCATAACGACTACGCGTTCCCAAGGGAAGACGTCGGTGGAGCTGAAGCAGTTCAAGAGGAAGCTGGGGGTCTACAAGAAGCTACAAAAACCGCGAACTCCTCCTTCGGATGCATCCAGCTCAGCAAATTCGGCATCAACGACACACACAGTTGTCAAGAAAGCTCAGGGTCCTGAGGAAGAAACTTTCTCCAAGCAGCCTCGGCCAGCTGCTAAGCCACGAGCAGATAGCAAGAAAAATGCTTATACGGAATATTGGGATGTACCCTATGATCCCATTAACGAAACTATCTTTCGGTACTCCGAGCAACGCCCGCCCCTCGAACTCAAGGTCACCTTCAAAGGACGACGCCTCCAAGCACTCGTGGACAGCGGAGCATCGCACACCGTTTGCGACAAGGCAGTAATCGACCGACTTTGGGAAGAGTACAAGCCTTTAGCATTCTCTGCAACGATCGTGGACGGCAGCAAGTTACCAGTGTACAGCGAAGCAAAGTTACACCTACAAATCGGACCACTGCACTGGAAACCTGCACTCCTCATCACCAACATAAAAGGGCTTGACTTGATCTTCGGGCGAGACTTCCAAAAAAGATTCAACCCCGAGATCAACTGGTTAAATCGTACTGCAAGCATCTACAACAATGGAAGGAGAGTCCAGCTACCCAACTGGGACGATACAGGAGATATCCCAATAGAGACACTCGCAAGATTGGTGAAGGACGTAAAACGAACCGACACCGGGTTCCTAGCGATAGCGACGGTTGTGGAAAGCGACGGAGAGAAAGCCTCGGAACCTCCACAAAAAATCAATGAATTACAAAAGGAGTTCCAAGAAATTCTTCCCGACGACCTTCCAAGCGAGCCGCCGCCATACCGAACGCACCAACACGAGATCGTGGAAGAACCAGGTCCGAAGCCGACCTTCCGAGCACCATATCAGCTCAGCCTCACGGAGCTAGCCGACATGAAGAAACAAATCGAGTATCTTCTCGCGAAAGGACTCATCCAACCATCGACTTCGCCATACAGTGCCCCAGTATTCTTCACACCGAAACCAGACGGAAGCCTGCGCATGTGCATCGATTACCGAGCTCTCAATAAGCAGACCATCAAGAACTAATACCCAATACCATGAATCGATGACCTGCTTGACCAGCTTCAAGGAGCCACGGCATTTTCCAAACTGGATTTGCGGTCTGGATACTGGCAGATACGAATGGCGGACAATTCCATCCACATAACTGCTTTCTGCACTCGGTACGGGTCGTACGAGTATCTGGTAATGCCGTTCGGACTCACCAACGCACTGGCAACATTCCAAGCTGAAATGAACCATATTCTACGTCCACTCTTGGACGAATGCGTGGTGGTGTACCTGAACGACATCCTCATCTACTTGTGCGACATGCAGCAGCACGTCCAACACCTGCGATGCGACTTTGACATTCTTCGACGAGAACGATTCTACGTCAAGTTATCCAAGAGCGAATTCGCCCTCGAGAAAGTCCAATTCCTAGGACACATGGTGAGCGCTCAAGGAGTTCACGTCAACCCCAAGAAGATCGAAGCCGTACGCACATGGAAGACTTCCGAGAACGTGAAGGAGTTGCAGCAGTTCCTAGGTTTCGCGAACTATTACAACAGGTTCGTGCCACAGTACGCGAAAATCGCAACACCACTCACGAATCTGCTGAAGAAGAACACGCCCTATAAGTGGGAACCAAAACATCAGGAAGCCGTGGAGCAGCTGAATCAAGCACTCACGTGCGCACCTCTACTCATCTTGCCAACCCCGAACGCGACTACGTAATCGAAGCTGACGCTAGCGACCAGGTGTAAGAAATAGAGCTGAAATGATTAATTAGATAGGGAGCCCAAGGCTCTATAAGTACATGGCAAGGTGAGAGAGAATGGATGAAGGGGGAATCGAGGGGAATCCCCATTGGGATCTCCAGAATCTCCAATTGGGTAATTGGAGATTGGGAGGATCACAATTGGATGAGGTTGGGATTTGTGAGTACACCCCAACCCACTAGAATATTCCTAACCTAAACTAGGATATAAAAGTACAAATACAAAAGTGGGATTTGCAATCTATTTCTAACACCAGGCAGTGGGAGCAGTCTTGATGCAAGACCAGGGGACCAATCGCCTACCTCAGCAAGAAACTACATGGGGCAGAACTAAACTACCCGATACACGACAAGGAGGCCCTTGCTATTATCATCGCCTTCAAAACCTGGAGATGTTATCACGAAGGACGACAAACAACCGTCTACACCGACCACTGCAGGCTGAAATATTTGAAGGCACAACCAATCCTCTCCAGGCGGCAGGTCCGGTGGATTGACTTCCTCGAGACACACAACCACTATGACATCGTGTACAAGCCCGGCCACAAAAACAAAGCAGACGCTCTCAGTCGGCCTGCACACGTTGCCGCAATCAAGGTCGAAGGGATGAACCCAGTCCTTAAGGAACTATTCACACACGGGTACGCGATCGACCCCGAAATTCCTTTGGCAGCAAAACGATACCTGCTACAGTGGGACAGTGACATCGCATACCGGAAGGGATCAACGAAGATCTGGGTTACCAATTACCCTCCTTTGTGCCAGTTACTACTCGAAGAATACCACGATGTCCTATACCTGGGACACTTCGGTTGCAATAAGACGCTAACCGGTACTACAAAGCGCTACTACTTGGCCCACATGGCAGCCGACGTCCAGCAATTCGTCACCTCGTGTGCTACATGTCAGCAGATGAAGAGCAGCAAGCAGAAAAATGCAGGACTGCTACAGCCTCTTCCTGTCCCAGAACACCCATGGCAAGTGGTTAGCCTGGATTTCATCACCGGATTACCAACAACCACAAGCGGTCATGACGCAATCCTCGTCCTTATCGACAAATTCTCCGAAATGGGACACTTCATCCCAACACACACGACAGCACGCAACGAAGAGACAGCATAATTATTCATTCGCTACATCATCTCACAACATGGCATTCCAACCACACTCATCTCCGACCGAGACCCCAAGTTCACCAGCAATTTCTAGAAGGAACTGATGTCTCTGCTCAGGACCAAACTCGCCATGTCATCCGCCTACCATCCGCAGACAGATGGACAGACCGAGCGCCTCAACCAACTTGTAGAGCAACTCCTCCGCGCAACATTCAAAAGCGAAATCTCTAAATGGGACTTGTACCTGCCCGTAATGGAGTTTGCCTACAACAACAGCACTCATGCCGCTGTAAGAAAAAGAGTTGAAATGATTGATTAGGTAAGAAGCCCAAGGCTCTATAAGTACATGGCAAGGTGAGAGAGAATGGATGAAGGGGGAATTTAAGGGAATCCCCATTGGGATCTCCAGAATCTCCAATTGGGTAATCGGAGATTGTGGGGATCACAATTGGGTGAGGTTGGGATTTGTGAGTACACCCCAACCCACTAGAACATTCACAACCTAAACTATGATATAAAAGTACAAATACAAATGTGGTATTTGCAGTCTATTTCTAACACACCCCCATAGACTGCAAACCCGGTCAAGGAGCACATAGCCCCATGGAACGGAGAAGGCGATGGTGGTCAGCCTTGCCGAGAGCCTTGGTAAAGAGGTCGGCGAGGTTGCAATCTGAGGCGATGTACCGTACCGTCAGCTGGTCACTCTGAACAAGATCTCGGATGAAGAAATGACGAAGTTCGATGTGCTTGGTGCGAGAGTGGAACACAGGATCCTTGGTGAGATGAATGGCACTCTGGTTGTCACACCACAGGGTGGGCGACTGCTGGGGGTAGCCTAACTCAGCGAGGAGAAAGGAGAGCCAGCGTGCCTCTTGAGCAGCCATTGTGCCCGCGTAGAGCTCGGCCTCGCAGGACGACAGGGAGACTGCAGAGGACCGAGTGGAGCGCCAGCTGATGACTCCGCTACCAAGGGTGAAGCAGTACCCTTGGGAGGAGCGTCTGTCAGTCTGGTCATCGGCCCATGAGGAGTCTGTGTATCCCTCGAGCTTGACTGGAGAGGTACCACCAAGAGTGAGGATGTGAGACTTGGTGGCTTATAGATAGCGGAGGACCCTCTTGGCTGCAGACCAATGCGAGACAGTATAGCGTCCCGGGGAGACCTACCGAGAGAGGACACAAACTCGGTAAGCCAAGTCTAGTCGAGTGCACATCATGGCATACATAAGTCAACCAACTAGCTCAGGGTACGGGTCCTTGCAGGCGTCAGGAGAAGGAACTGGAGGAGCCGTGAGCTGATGCTATAGTGGGAGTGGAGTGGAGACAGAGTTACTGGAGTCCATGTCAAACCGCTTGAGAAGGTTGTCGATGTAGGACTTCTGGAAGAGGGTGATCGTGCAAGCCTGGCGGTCACGAGTGATCTCCATCCCCAGGTAGTTCTTGAGGTCACCAAGATCCTTCATGAGAAGGGCGGAGCTGAGAGCAGACTGGACAGCTGCCATGTCGGCTGGATCTCTGGCGGCTAGAATGAAGTCGTCGACGTAGACGAGGATGTAGAAGGGCTCGGAGGAGTGACGAACGAAGAGACTGGAATCTGAGGCAGAGGGATGGAAGTCAAGTGCGAGGAGGACTTCCTTCACCTTGTTGTGCCACTGACGAGGAGCCTGCTTGAGGCCATACACTGGGCGCTTCAGCTTCCACACTGTGTTGGCAGGGTAAGTGCCAGGAAACCCCGGTGGGCGTTCCATGTGAACATCCTCCTTGAGCTGGCCTTGGAGAAAGGCGGAGGAGGCGTCCATGGACTTGATCTCGAAGTTGCCGCGAGCGGCTATATCAAGAAGAGCGCGCACAGTCGGGAGCTTGGCCGTGGGCGAGAATGTTTCGAAGAAGTTGAGATACTCCTTCTGGGTGAAACCCTTCGCCACGTATCGTGCCTTGAACATTGGAGCTTCGCCTGGGATTTGTTTGACTCGGAAGATCCATTTTCCACCGACGATGTTGACATCGGAAGGGGGAACAACATCGTCAAAGCTGTTGTTGCGAATGAACGCCTCGTTCTCCACATCCATTGCTGCCTTCCACTCCTTCTTGTAAGGCCCCGGGAGAGCTTCCTCTTTTGTGCGAGGAGTCGGAATGGTCGGGTTCTCGGTGAAGTTGAGGGAAGGGCAGTCAGTAATGTCCGGGAAGATGTGAGAGAGAAATTGGCAGACCGCGTGAAGGTCTAACAGCTCCTCATGCCTGTCCTCCAGAAGTGCACGGGGGGGAATACGGATGGAGGGGACATCACCCCCGGCAGGAGGAGGCGGGGTGACCGAACACCGGATGGAGAAGGCGGCTGGTCCCCAGGCGAGAGGCGGAGCCGGTCCCTTGGAACGAGTGCGACTAGAGACCGGAGACGAAGGCGGCTGCGGTGGGACCGGAGGGACTGGGCGCCCCCGATAGGAGACTGGTGAGCCGGGCTCGATGCGCGGGGAAGGCGGAGCAGGAGGAGGTGCCGCTGCGGAGGATACTGGGGAGGCCGGGTGAGACACGCCGGACGGAGAAGGCCCCGGAGAAGGGACAGCGGCCGGAGGTGGGGCATCGAAGTCTGCCCAAACAAGCGTCGTGGGAGACGGAGGAGGCTCGCCCATGGTCGCAGAGTGGAATGGGCGTGTCTCATCGAAGACGACATCACGGCTGCGAATCAGCTGTCTGGTGATTGGGTCGAGGAATAAGTAGTCTGGGGAGTCGGAGTTGTGCCCCAGGTACATGCAGGTCTGGGTTTTGGGACCAAGCTTGCCACCTTGCTTCCTGCGCGTGTGGGGGCTTAGCAACACATACGCGGTACACCCCCAGACGCGTAGAGAGCAGGCGGAAGGCGTGACCCCAAGCCAGAGAGCGGTAGGTGTGGTGTCGGGCCGGTGGGGATGCGGATAAAGATTGTAGAGGAGTGCCGCATGGAAGAGGGCATATCCCCAGAGTGACCGTGGTGCGTTGGCGTGACTGAGGAGGCAGCGAGCGATCTGAACCAAGGTGTGGTTGCGGCTCTCTGCAATGCCATTCTGCTGCGGGCTTTCGGGGAGCGTGAAGGTTTGCCGAATCCCTTGGGCCGCACAGAATTTATCGAGTTTGCCATTGCGAAATTCTCCCCCGCCATCAGAATGGAGGCACTTCACAGGAGTGCCGAACGTGACTTGAGCCTGGCGCACCCACGCCATGATGACATCAGGTGCCTCCGCCTTGGTATGCAGGAGGTGCACAGAAACATACCGCGAGTGGTCATCGACTAGTATAAGAAAGTACCGATGACCGCCTGGGGATGCGACTGGAGCTGCACCCCAGACATCCATGTGCACTAGGTCCAGCGGAGCAGCTGCGACGGATGGGGAGGAAGGATGCGGCTGCTGCCTGAGCTTGCTCTTGGTGCAGTCTAGGCAGGTGGGTGCAGGTGAGTCTGTTGGTGGAGGAAGCGCCAACGGGAGGCCAAGAAGAAGTTTCTTGGAAGCGATGTCGGCAAGTGTACGGAAGTTGGGGTGACCCAAGCGATGGTGGTAGAGGATGGTTGGGTTGGCAAAGCTGCGACACGAACACGGAGTGGTGCTGGCAGCTTGCGCTTGGGAGAGTACGGCGAGAGGTGCAGTTGAACGCAGCGTGTAGAGCTTGCTACTGTTGAGTGTGAAGCGTGCTAGGAGCTTGTTGGACTTAGGGTCGAAGAGGTCACAGTGATCCGAGTGTGCTGGGAAGATCGTGGTAACGCCTGCCCGTTGGAGCTCGTGCTGGGCCACGAGATTGTGGCGTAGTGTGGGAACACACATGCCGGTGACACTGCCCGAAGGAAAAGCTGGGCACGGAACTGTGGAGGAGCCCTTGGCGTGTGTTATGAAACTGGAGTCTGCTTCTAGTAGACGGATTGGTGTCTCGTATGGCTTGAAGGAGTGTTCTTCCTTGAGAACCGTGTGAGTGGCCCCACTGTCGAGGGTGAACTCTCTTGTGGCTGAGGTGCTTTGTGAGCCAGGATACTGCGAAATCGTCTCATTAATCATGGCAGTGCCAGGGAACAACATGTTGAGGCGCACATCAGCAGGTGCAGCCACAGCAGCCTGCACGGATTCCTGCGTTTCGACTTGATTGACTTGGCGAGGAGCACGATTGACCATCCAGCTTGGCGGCTTGGAGGCGGTCCAATTGACGGCATACCACTCGTCATCCTTCTTCTTAAAGCAGGAGGCAAGGCCGTGGTTGGTGCCGCCACACACCTGGCCAGCACGAGGTCCGCGCTTGATGACGTAGGGACACGGGGGGAAGCGGTTGCGCTGGAATGGCACCGAAGCGGCATAGGCTTGAGGCACGGGAGCGCGGATTGCATTGGCCTTGGCTTGAGCGCTGTTGTCCTTTTCGGCAGAAAGGAGACGGATGAGACCTTGGCAAATGTGAGGTCTGCAGGAGCAAGGCCCAAGAGCATCTTGCGTGTGACTTCGTATGCCGGAGTGAGGCCGACTAGGAGAGCGGCTGCAGGGGCTTGCTCGGGGAAGACTATCCCCAACTGTTTGAGTTCACCATGAATGGACTGCACCTTGGTGACATAGTCCGCCATGCCTGGCGAGTCCTCGAGCCGCACTTGGAACATGCTGGGGATGAGTATAGCAACTCCCACTTCAGTTTTGTTCAGGAAGTGATCCTCGAGGTAGAGCCAAATGGCGTTGGCAGACGGGTAGTTGTGGTAGGTTTCGACGAGTTCGGGAGGAGTGGTGCCCATGAAGACACTAATGACCGCACCATCGGCCTTCTCCCAATTCTTGTACTTGAGCAGTGCAGCAGCATAAACTGCTTCGGCGTCGGCATTAGCTGGAACGGCGGACCTCTCGGGTTTAGGAGGCTCTTTGCCATCACCGATGTTGAGAAGGATGTCGGTGAGCTCGAGCCCCTTCACCTCGCGACTGAGGAGCTGCTTGTCGACACCATAGCGCCAAGCCTTGTAGTTAGAGCATGTACCGTCCGGCTCGAGACGAAGGAGCGGGATCGGGTTGGCGAGTGAAGTGGTTGAGTAAGCCATTC